ATGGTCACGAAGAAGAGGATATGACTGCATTTGAATAAATGTGGACTGCTGTTCACGAATAAATACAGATTGCTGTACATGGAAAAAATAAGGGATACCCTACCCCTAAAAATAAGCTCTACTGCATCTTTTGGAGCAAAACTTAATACAAAGATCTGGTCTTATTTCCAAGGATATATGGTACTTTTCCAACTAACCACTTCCTTCCTTTTACACAGGTCTACTTCTTCAACAGAAATGATCCTCTGAATAATAACTATGTGGCACACCAGATTTGAGTTTTGGGCACACAGGGTCTCACTATGCAGTTCAGGCTGTCCTTGAACTGACTATGCAGCCCAAGCTGGCCTCGAAATTATGGTGATCCTCCTGCCTTGCCACTCAAGTGCTAGCATTACAGGTGTGCACTACCACACCTAGCTCTAGAGTCAAATTTTTTTTATAAAATATATTACAAATATAATTATCCAGCTGTAAGATATCCAGCCACTACATAAATGCTTCATAGCTTTAGTGAGTGGGAAGGGAGAGTAGTGAGTAGTTAAGAGGAAGGCAAATACTGACCTCCATCAAGGGAGCTTGTCACCGTTTGTTTAGATTGTTATCTCCAATTTAGAGACGAGAATGCCAAACTTTAGAGAGTAAAGATATGCCTAGTGTTCAAGAACTAAAATGTGGCAGAGTCAGCACTTAAGTCTGTCTAGCTCCCTATACTTATCCTTTTACCAGTATTCCAGTCGTACTCCACGGAGGGCAGTTTTGCTCCCTACCTTGCAGGGCACATTTGGCAAGGTCTGGAGACAAGTGTGTTACTGTCATTACTTATTTTTTTAAAATTTAATTTAATTTTTTTGTTTTGGTACCGGGGATTGAACTCGGGTCCCTGCGCTTGCAAGGCAGGCCACCAAACCCCTGAGCTAAATCCCCAGCTGTTGTCATTACTTAGATGGGACTGGGTGGGTGGTCACCACTGGTATCTAACAGGTAGAGCCAAAGTTGTTGCTGAATATCCTGCAATGCACAGGGCAGTTCTTCACAACAAAGAATTATCCTACCTAAAATATTACACATCACAAAGGTGATTTTCAAGCCATTAAGCCTAAACTTCACTATGCTTAAATCCCATTAAGCTATTTAGAACATGTTAAAAATAAAGCACTAAGGCACATAATTCCTGCACAAGTTAGTTACACTTACCTCCCTCTCATTAATGCAATGCTGACCCCCTTAATTCCTCAAGGGGGGACCCTTGGTCTCACCTCTCCCTTTTTGTGGACTCAGACCAACTCTTTCTTTTTTTCTTAAGTCCCCAGTGCTTCAATTACCTAATCTTGAAACAAATCTCCCATTTTAATCTCCTTTCTCTGAGCTTAAAATCTTACTTTCTAAATTCTAATTTCTAAAACTCAAAATTTGTAAAAGTCCACCCATTTTCTCCTCTATGTGTCTTGCCTTTTTCTGTTTAGGATTGTATTATCCTTTCCGAGACTGGAAATCCAGCCATCCTTAATGTCTCAGTCTCTCACTCTTGCCATCATTTAAGTCTCTTCTATGTTACCCTAAAACTTCCTTGTAAGTGCTACTGGCTGCTAAGCAGAGTGGTTAGTTGAGAGCTCCCAAACTTGGCTACAGAGGCCTGAACTCTAGATGTCATATAAGTACTTTTGGTGAAAGTCACTTAATCTTTCAGTGATTATTTATTTATAAAATGAGAACAAATTTTTGTTTTGTTTTGTTTTGGGGTACCGGGGATTGAACTTGGGTCCTTACGCTTGCAACGCAGGCCACCGAACCGCTGAGCTAAATCCCCGGCCCCGAGAACAAATTTTTTTGTGATGGGGTCTCACGGTGTTGCCCAGGCTGATAGTGGACATAAGTGATCCTCTTGCCTCAGCCCAAGAAGCTAGAACTACAGATGTTACAAACTGTTGTCTAAAGGATTTTGGAGAGGCTAAGTAAGTTGATAGATGTACACCTAAGAAAGCATGTATTACAGAGGAATCTTAAATATTAATTTTAATATTGTAACTAAAAACTAGGTACTCTTGAAAGTTGTCTTCTCATTGAGAATTAAAAAACATGAAGTTTACTGTTTTTTAAATTATGAAGGTATCATAAACATCAAAAATAGAATGTCCTAAAATTTACAGAGGGATAAGCCATTTGAACTAAGAAATTGTACAACAATGTGTTATTAAAAAGTCTAAGAAGAGCTGGACATGGTGGCGCATGCCTGTGATCCCAGCACTCAGGAGGCTGAGGCAAGAGGATCGCTGTGAGTTTGAGACCAGCCTGGGCTACATAGTGAGTTCCAGGTCAGTCTCAACTACATAGTGAGACCCTGTCTCAAAAAACAAAAAAACCCAAAAAACCCCAAAAGTCTAAGAAGGTTAGGGGTATAGTTCAGTGGTAAAGTACTTGTTGCCCTGGCTCCATCCCCAGTAGTACAAAAAAAAGAAAAGGAAAAGGAAAAACAAGTTAAGAAACTCCCACAGGACAGCATGATGAGACTGTGATTTCACAAAGCATCTATTTAAATAAATACCATTATAAAGCAAGAAAAAACATGTTCAGGGGAGGGGGAGTCATTCCAATGCTTTTAAGGAGAGTCTACAGACAAAACTTGTCACTATGTTGCCAACATTGTGTCCCAGGAAAAAGTTGTTCATGATCCACAAACAGGTCCTTTCCCATTGTAGAGAATGATTTCTCAGACTATTAAGTCTTGATGATATTGGCCAACTCTTCCCATTCTAATTCTGTATACACAAAATACTGTTTGATATTAATGTGGTTTTCCATATACCTCTGGCTAGAAGAAAGTGGGCTGATTACCAAAAATGAATATCTAGTCTTGATACTTACATTTTTCAGTGTAAACTGATTCCAATACCAATTTTTTATCTCCTTAACCAGAAATAATCCTGTTTCTTCTAAAGCTCTTTCTGATTGCTAGCTGTTTTACATGTTTATCACTTCCTCAAGACTGTATGTGCCTGAAAGTAGGATATTCCTAGTTCCTTTATTTTGTCTTTTACTATAGAAATTTAAGTAGGCTCTTAAATGTTGGGGGGGTATAAGTGAAAGGGTGAATAGCAACATGTGAATATTCTCTTCCCAAGACTGAAGAGTAAACACAAAAATTGTACTTACCTTATTCTTTTCATTTTGAAAAATTTCTAATAGCTGATCTATGTGCCCTTCTTCTATGCATTTTTGGCCTGCTAACTGAAATAAGCCAAAATCTTCTTCTTTAAAGTCATGTTCTTCTAAGACTTGCTGGTAAAAAAAAAAATAAAAAACAAGCACATAGGCAAATTTTCAAAATGGCATCTTCACAATTTTTAAAATCTAAGTTCTAAATAAATTATACATAAATACATGTATGAAAATTAGGATTACTCTAGTAAATTCTTTAATGAATAACCTTGAAATCCACTGTACCAAAGAAATCCATTAAAAATATAAGCATTAAAATTATTTCATTTTTTTAAAGAAAAAGAAAAAGGGCCAGGGATGTAGCTCAGTGGTGCTGTGCCTGTCTGGCAAGCACAAAGTCCCTGGCACTGAAAAAATTAATTATTATTTGTTTTTTTGAGACAGCGTCTGGCTAGGTAGTTTTAGGCTGGCCTTGAACTCACTACATAGCCCAGGCTGGCCTCAATACTCCAGCAATACTCCTGCCTCAGCCTCCGGAGTGCTGGGTTTACAGGTGTGCCTCACCACACCAATTTCATCCCTTTAAATTTTAATGCTTATCAAGCTGGGCCTGGTGGCTCAGGTGTGTAATCCTAGCACTGCCAAGTCTTGAGGCAGGAGGGTTACTGAGAGTTTGAAAAATAAAAACAAAAAGGGACTGAAGATAATAATTTGACCACAAATCACTAAAATTAACCTCCTGTTCATAGTCTGAAAGGCATTTAATTTTACCAACAAAACAAAACAAAAAAAAAGGCACACAAAATAGCCACTCTACTTACACATTTCTTTATTATGGACTGGAGTTCTTCCACAGCCATTCCTAATTACTTTTCCTAGTTTTGATTCTGAAATATACGAACACATTGTTAAACTGTGATAGTACACAACTTATGTTTCATTCTGATTATTAGAAAACGCAATAAAGAAAATATAAAATTTTAACTGACTGTAAAGTTATTATTGGCTGTATTGGATTTTTTTTCCTATTGCATATTTTAAAGAGCATACAGGTACAAGAGAGTAACAATCATCTGAAGCACACCCTAGAAAAGAGACAATACAGAATGAAGGGCTTTCAAAAGTTAAAGTATTTCTTTTCTGAACATTTCTTCTCCCCCAAAAGTGGGCCTAAAATTAAAATTCTAATCATTCGGTATTTAATGTTCCACTTGACAAAAATCGGAATCCAACACTATTAAGTCACACAAAGGGGATAAAGATTCAGATGTCCTCCACTGCACTTCTTTGTAGGAGCTGCACTACCCAAAACAATCAATCCAGCAGAAAAGTCGCCGCCTTACACCGAGACGCAGCAATCGGCTGTCCCGCGGCTGTTACCGCCCGCGCCCACCGACCAGCGTTTCCCCGGGAGGAGGCAGGGGCGCCGCGCAGCCCGTTCCTCACGCTCGCAAGTGATGCGCTGGAGAG